TGGGGGGCACTAAGTCCAACGCTACACAGCGGGTATCTACACAATGGACTATCTGTGCTCTGCCCACCACGGGTATCGAAACCCTGTTTCTAGCTTTGTAAGTCCGCAGAAATACCGCTGTGCCACTGGGAGTGGGGGCTTCTTTGAACGAATAGTGGACTTTAACCGCCACTCTTAATAATTCACATTCTGTTATTTTAAGAGAAAAATATCACAAGAAAATTATTATCTAAAAAGTGATACACTTGTCCTGAATATGTAATAATGTTCAATTATTTTTTTATTTAAGTATTTAACATATAATACACATTTCATTATATTTAGTACATATTTAAAATACCTTTCTTATTTCCCTTACAGAAATAAAAAATAATAATTTAGTAAGATTTTACATATTCAGTGTACTAGTTTTTGTGTAATAGTTTCACATTGCTATTTTTTCTCTATTTCAGTTTGGACGACGATAGTGGGCCCGGGCCCAGCATGGCCAGGCGGTTAGGGCGCTCGACTCGCAATCTGAGGGTCGCGGGTTCGAATCCCCTTCACACCAAACATACTCGCCCTTTCAGCCGTGGGGGCGTTATAATGTGACGGTCAATCCCACTATTCGTTGGTAAAAGAGTAGTCCAAGAGTTGGCGGTGGGTGGTGATGACTAGCTGCCTTCCCTCTAGTCTTACACTGCTAAATTAGGAACGGCTAGCGCAGATAGCCCTCGTGTAGCTTTGCGCGAAATTCAAAACAAACAAGCAAACGACCATAGTGTAGTTGAAGTATTATTAATACACACTTTTTAAACCTTGAAAATCTCTCAGGGACTAGATAAAAAATGTAGTTAAAATGTATTTAATAGGCCTAACACTTCTTACCAGCTTTGAAAAATCATTTACACTTCATTAGCAACTGTTGTCGAAAAAAATGTTCACTACTGTATTGGTTGTGTTACTCTCGACCTGAGGAGTTTTGGATTAAGTAAAACGTATCTTCGACAATGGATGTAGAAAATATAGTGTGGTTGAAATACTGTCATTATACACCCTCCTAATTTTTGAAAATCGCTGAGGAACTACATAAAGAATGTAGTGTTAAATAATATTATAGGCCTGATACTAATGTCTTATGACAAGTGTTTGTTTGTTTTTAGAGCAAAGCCACATTTAGCTATCTGCTGTGTTCACTGCGTGGAATCGAACCCTGGATTTTAGCGTTGTAAGCCTTTAACGCTGTCCCACAGGGGCGCTGTGACAAATGTAATTAATTATAATCATGCTTGGCCAGCTTGGAAAAGGCGTTCATACCATAAAATATTCTAGCATATTACTCTGTTTTCTAATTTTTACTTGTATTTATTGTAAAATAATTACTTTTAAATTATGGTTTCATTTATCATATGAATACAAGTATAAATAAATAAATAAAAATGACTCTCCGCATATATATATAAAAGATATAGGTTTGTAGCTACTTCATAGCTTTTAGATATTATTAAATTAAAAATAAGTTTTTCACATCTTTTTTTCATATTCTGTTCATCATTGAGTGAATAAATGTTTAAGGGCTGTTCCATTAATACAAAAATATCAGTTAATACTTTTTATGCTATGAAAAGTTTCAGATAAATACTCGCACATGGTGTATTACATAACCTTAGTTTGTTACATCCGTATCGTCGAATGTTCTGGCATATGATGCAATATCAACACATAAAATGACCAACCAATTTTGTATTCAAAAGTGCCTAATCATTTTCGAGAACGAGAGTAAAGTTATAAGCTTGAACCCAGAGATTGTACTAAATAAACCAATCAGATTATTAGCAGGTGAGAATGACTCATCAATATTTGTCAACTTCAGTGACGTTTACTTGTATAAGCTGCTTGCTTTTGGTGAATCAGTTTATGTTTATGCTAGTTTCATCAGATTTCACTGTGGAAATGTAAGTTTTGGAAGAGTATATAAGGAAGAACTTTTGATAAGTGATTATTTCTGTCATTTTCTTAGTAGTGTGGAGTTTTTCGGTACCATCAGCAAGCGAAACTGTTTCTAGAACGACTATTATCACGTAGTTAAAACTAACCTGACTGAAGTTGAACGACGTAACGTTATTTTAATTTTTATACTTTCGATAAGTCTTAAAAAAGGTATATTTTTAACTTGAATTTTTACTGATATGAGTATCTTGATTAGAGCCTATTAATGTGTGTAACTTGTAAGTTATCTAACTTTTGTCTTGAGACTAAGTGTTTGCAATTGCATATATTGTTATTGTTTTGGTAGGCCTAACCAAACAACAACAGCACATAAACAGTAAACTTTAATTATGAGATTGTATTCCTCTAAAATTAAATTTATCGTCCCCATAAACAGGCTTAGACGTAATTTTTAATATAAGTAGTAATTAATAATGTACGGTAAAAATATATCCTCTTCTTTTGTTGTTCTTTTTATGTAAATACATTTATTATTATAACTGTGCTTTCATTTAATCTAACAACCCATCACTGTATCAATTATACTTTGAATGTGTTTATGTTCCGTTCTTTGGTCTGATAATTAATCTCTTGAAATTGACGATTAGACTGACAGTGTGAGAATGTGTGCCATAATCTTTAGCTAGCTTTACTACTACTAGCAGGGCTGTTATCAGCCTTACTAGTGTAGATAATTTCTGTGTCAGCAAATTATATATATTAATATAGAAAATTATTCTGCAAATTTAAAAGATCTAACTAATCTATAGTTTACTCCCACATTATAAAAATGGTTTCTTCCAACTTGTATTTTGTGTGAAACACTAAGTAAATAACTGTTACAAGATTGTTTAATTTATTGAAACAGAACTTTCAGTCAGTATTTCCTAAGTGACAGAGAATTTTCATTACATACCTAAACTGTATTTAAACATCTCGTGCAAACGTGTAGTGTCCATTTTATACATTCTTACAAAGAGTTGTCAGAATTATTTAATGTCAAGTGAATCTGATTGCTAAATGTTCCAATGTTGAAAGTAAGACCTCGTAGTCTAGTTGTTAAGCTAGGCCTTATGGTACATCCTCGAAATGAGAAATTGTCTTTCAGGTTTTTATTTGGAAAGTTTAGTTCTTAAATTTTAGTGATGAGACCTGGCTAGAAAGATGTTGTGGAGAAATGACATGTACCTAACAAGTGCAAAATAGGTGTAACATAAACTTAACTTGATTTTGTTTGTGCTCTTATAATGGCATGTTGTGGTGGTATATGATAATGTGTCCTATACACATACTGGAATATAAGCTATTATTATGAACAGCCTAGTACTTTTAATCAACATAACTGTTAGGTTCAGAAAAATGATGGAATACAATGTACCTTCAATAGTTATTAAATGTACTATAAGACAATGTGTGATTTGTTTGTGAGTGTGTGTATATATTTCAGATTTAAGAAGTGACCATGGTTTTGACCATCAAAGCATTCTATCAGAAGGAAGGAACTGAAAAAACTGAAATCAGGCGTTTCCTCACAACAGAAGGTGTTTTTAACTCCTACACAAATCTTTGTGAAAAAATTTCCAAAGTCTTTCCACAACTAACGGGAAAAGCCATTCATCTTGCATGGAGAGGTACGTAAATTGACTTTGGTAAAAGGGAAAAAATAAAGGAATTGAATTGATCAAAAAGTGGAAATGTGGAAGTTTTATTTTCATTATCTTTCTGTGTTTATCGACCATCAGAAATGTTCACTTAATGTTTCATAAATGTAATGTAAAAACTAATATTATCTCATGATTGTCACAAGATGTAACTTAAAACCTAATATTATATCATGATTGTCACAAGATGTAACTTAAAACCTAATATTATATCATGATTGTCACAAGATGTAACTTAAAACCTAATATTATATCATGATTGTCACAAGATGTAACTTAAAACCTAATATTATCTCATGATTGTAACAAGATGTAACGTAAAACTAATATTATCTCATGATTGTCACAAGATGTAACGTAAAACTAATATTATCTCATGATTGTAACAAGATGTAACTTAAAACCTAATATTATCTCATGATTGTCACAAGATGTAACGTAAAACTAATATTATCTCATGGTGATTGTGAGAGTTTGTTTGTTATTAAGCACAAAGCTATCTGTGCTGTGTCTACCATGGGTATCAAAACTTGGTTTTTAGCATTCTAAATCTTCAGACTTCATGCTGAGGTATGGAAGGACTGTATTTTTAATTGGCTCAACGAGAGAGCCTTGTCGTTCTTCTGCAGAATGCGGATTTACAACTTTACATCGGATTGGCTCTAGATTGTCGTTGTAACATACACCAATAATAAATAAAAGTTGTTTATAGAAAGAAAAAAAAAAGATGGTAAACAAATCATTCAAAGGTTTAACGCAACGTGAGGTTTGAGATGTGAGAGTTGACACGAGGATCATGTGAAGTATGTTAGGAGAACATGTACGTTAATTTATTTAACTTGATAGATAACTTAGGGTACACTAACTCCATGGTATTTAAAATTGTTTTTGCATATAATAATTAGGTGTAAACTCATCTTAAAAACTATCTTGGGTCGTGAACAACACATGATTTCTGGTCTTATTCACTTGACAGTACCTCATGATTTAGAAGAAATTAAGCTTATATGTTATAGTAGTAGCAAGAATACATTGAAAAATATGACATTTTCATAAAATCTTTTGAACAGATTATACATAGGATAAGAATACAATGATAACTTTGTTTTGGTAGCTTATTTAATGAAAATAAATAAAATGACAGATATCTAAGGATTATTTCAAGACATGTTATGTTAAAGAAAAGATTTTGTAAAAATAGAATTTTAATTTCATTTTTGCTTTCAGACTCGGAGGGTGATGAAATTATCATGTCGAGTGACGAAGAACTAGCTGAAGCCATTGCTCAGGCAGAAAATGACCTGTTAAAAGTCCATATTTACTTAAATGTGAAAGACGAACCAAGCATGAAAAAACAAAGTGGAGGAGAGAAGGTGGTACATCCAAATGTTACTTGTGACAAATGTGACAAGCAAGTCAAAGGATATCGTTACAAGTGTCTACGATGCAATGATTTTGACTTGTGTGAAGACTGCCATGCTCAGGATGCTCACCCGGGTCATGATATGATCAAGATCACTTCTCCGGTACAAGTAAGTGTGTTATATCTAAAGATCACTTCTCTGGTACAAGTAAGTGTGTTATATCAAAGATCACTTCTATGGTACAAGTAAGTGTGTTGTATCTAAAGATCACTTCTCCGGTACAAGTAAGTGTGTTATATCTAAAGATCACTTCTCCGGTACAAGTAAGTGTGTTATATCTAAAGATCACTTCTCCAGTACAAGTAAGTGTGTTATATCTAAAGATCACTTCTCCAGTACAAGTAAGTGTGTAATATCTAAATTCCTTGCTACTTTGAATGATAGAAGTCAGTCTTACTGGAGAACTTGGTATTAATTTTGCACTGAGCTGAGAAATAGAATTAGATGACAACTTTTCTATGAGTTAGGTATTGCTTTAAATCTATTTAGGACTACTAGCCATATAAAGTTGGTTAAAATAAATTTTGTTATGGTAAGCTTATCAACATTGAAACACTAGGCCTAAAGCTGACTTGCTACACCTAACTTGAAATTATACTTTTTACCAGTGCTTTTCAGTCGCTTGTAATGAATCAGGGTGTTATGAAATCAGCCATGAACTAAGCTGAAATTGTGGATCTCATCAGTGTCTTGAAGTTGATGTTTTACCCACAACCAAGCAGATATCTCTCACTTCAGCTGCTACATTTGTGAAATATAAAAATATTGTTTTATTAACAGAAAAGCTAATATAGACGTTACATTATGTTATATCTATGTAACTTTATTGTTCATATTAAACAGCATTCTCCATGGTTCTTTCCTGGTTGGCAAAAACTGTGGCATCACATCATGGGACCTCAAGCTTTTCAGGGTGCTTGGGGAGGATTTGGCAGGCATGGTCGCGGATTTCGTTGCGACAAAGGACGAAAGTGGGGCCCGCAACGTAAGGCTCATCCTAACCGTGATGGTGCCACTAATGCTGAGACGAGTGATGATAATAAAAGAACTGAGGAGGAAGAAGATGTAACTATGGCAGCTGCACAACAAGGTGCAGAGTATCTGTACTCCATTGGAAATAAAGTGGCAGCCATGCTGGACCCTCTTGGTAAGAAGAACAAGAATTAGTGACTAAACTCGAGCTGTTGTTTTGTTTGAAAAGGGGGCACGTTTCATGATGTTAAGGATTTTATTGTATCTTGATGTAAATTTATATGAAACTTTCAAACTTGTAATATCCTTTTATACATCTTAGGTTTTTGTTTTCTTGAGTTAATTCAAAGAGTAAAGGAAATATGTTTATCATGATGAACTGATTAATGCTCAGTTTGATAAATGAAGTGATTTATACATCTGTTTTTTAGAGTTGCAACAATAAACAGACTTAATGTTTATTTTATTATGAGTTACAGCTTTTAAAGTAAATAACATTTGTTTTTAGAACAGGTACAACGTTTCAATCATTCTCATGTACACAAGTTTTTTTGGTGATAATGATTGCGCCAGTGATCAAAACATCTTACCTGTTCTAAAAATTAATCATACTTACTGTAAAAGCTTTAACTCGTAATAAAAAATATTTAATCAGTAAGTAAGCTCAAAATGAAACTTAATGGTTATCAGATAGTCTGTATTACTTACTCATTCAGACTGAGAATAAAAATGTTTCCACTTTGAGGAAGCACAAAATAATGACAGTATTTAAAAGAATTAAAGTGTTTCTTTGCTTCGTTTTCAGGTATTGACGTTCTGGTCGATGTTGAACACAGTGATGGAGAACGAGAAAGATGTGGAACACTACAGGAGGAGAACTTTGAGAAACAGGATAGAAAGAGGGTTCAAGAAAAGCAACAGGAAAAAGACAAGTGTCAGAAACAGAGCAGCAGTGGCTCTGGAAAAGAAATATTGGCAGAGCTAACAACAAAGGATGAAGATCTGTGTAAAAATCCTGCTGATGATGTCTCATCAGTTAAAAGTGATGAGAAAGTTGCCACATCTTCACAGAAGAAAACGACAGTTGGTAATGTTGGTCTTTTCAGTTCAAAATCTGAAGACACTCCGGTTCAGGACAAGCAGCCATCAGAAGAGGGAAAAGTCCAGGTTAATTTATTTGTTACTGAACTGATAAAAATCAAACACTTCATAACAGTGGACACTATTAACATGTTCACTAACCAGTGGTATTAATAAATTAAGTATAAATAAAATTAAACATTCAAGAGATACTGAGGAGCAATCACAGTGTCCAAAATTTTGCTTTGAAACATAATTGTCTGTGACTCACTGGTGGGGCACATGGCAGCGAAGATGGTTGTTCTGCTTGTTTCAAGTTAGCCTCTCTGTATTTTACAGGAAGGTAACCCTGACAACGATGTTGGCTGGACATTGGTGACTGAAGATTCTCTTGTGGAAGCCAGAACTCAGTCTTCACATGAAAAAAATAAATCGGAAGAACCAGCGAGTCAAGCCCCGTCAGTTCAGCCACAAGATACCAGGACAAAAGAAGGTAAGTAAATATCAAATTTTATGTGGATTAGCAGAAAAGTTTCGAATCCATGATAAACGTACAGATGTAATGACACTTCTATGATCAGTTATGAATGTTTTCTTATTGAGCAAGATTTTAATGAACTTGATTAATTCTTTATACATCTAACTCTCTCAGCACGGGCTCAATCCTAGGGACCAACCTCGTAACCATTTTGTGCTTGTTATAGTTTTCATGCTATAACTTTTAAATTAGTAAGTGTATCTTCACAAAATTTTGCATATTATCAGTAAACATTACAAGGCTTTCGTACACAAAATATTTTTTTTTATTACATTTAAGATTTTTTTCGTGCCTTTTTGTTTCTTGACGAGTGTTGACTATCCAACATGCAAAGTAATTTTGATTTTAAGATTAAAAATAATTTTTATGCATCGGAGAATTTTCAGATTTCTCTTGCAAAATCTTTATAACCTCCAGATATTTATCTCACATTTTTATCTGTTATTTTCACTATCATATCTCCAGACGGATTTGGTTGTTTTGACCATCTGCGTAATCACCATGAACATAAATGTTTAGCCTAAATAACTTAAATCTCGCAACTTTTATATATACACACACACACACACACACACACACACACACACACACACACACACACAC